TACTTCTAATGATTTTGAATGCTAAGCAATGACTTCTGGGCCTTGCAGCTGGAAGTGCGTGCATACCTCCTCCCCAACACTACCAGATCAGCACTAGAATCAGCAGGTTAATTATGCTCCACTAAGATAAATGTCACAAACTGGAGGAACTGGGTTTTTTTTGGAAAAGAGCAAAATCTGGTAGCAAATAGAACTTGCTTTCTGCCTACACAAGGCACGTCCCACTGAACTTACTGTGAAAGGCTCTAGGTGAGAGCATGAGGCTTTGGATGCAGTTTCTATTTATTTTTCAGCACCCCTGCATCTTTTAAACTGCATGACTGCCTTCCTACTCTGAGGAAGAGGTGTCTGTTTTAAGCAGAACACACAGCTTTGTAAGTATCAATACAATATGAGAAATAAGTTGTATTAAAACAATCCCATAATAATGCACTAGTTTGTTACTTTCAAAACAACAACATCTGGTCATATCTTAGAGCAAAATCAATAGAAACTATAAATTATAAAGCATCTAGGTAAAGAACAATTGCACTTTATTCATATATTTTCCTCTGGAAAAGCTAGAACAAGTAATATCTCTATAACAAAGGTTTAAAAATAACTTCATTTTCACACGCATGTCCTTCATCACTACATTTAAAACTTTCCTGCTCTTAATGCAACAGTCTGGTTCTGATTTTGACTTCCCCCACTTCATTGTTAAAATTCATATTGCGCTTCTAGGTTGCACTTTCACTGCACCTAATTTAAGCTCCAATTTAGCAAACACATGCTTAAAACACATGCTCACAAAGAAAATAGGTCTACTATGCACTGACATTCAAATACTAACTACCTACTTCACTGCTTTCCTGAGGAAGATCCAAAACAAAATATGTACACCTCTGCAGAAAATTATTGTTTCATTCTATGGAATTTCTAAATGTTCTGGTTTCAGCTGAGATAGAGTTAATTTCCTTCCTAGTAGCTGGCACAGTGCTGTGTTTTGGATTTAGGATGAGAATAATGTTGATAACACACTGATGTTTTAGTTGTTACTGAGCAGTGCTTACACTAGTCAAGGACTTTTCAGCTTCTCCTACTACCCTGCCAGTGAGGAGGCTGGAGGTGCACAAGAAGCTGGGAGGGGGCACAGCCAGGACAGCTGACCCAAACTGGCCAAAGGGACATTCCATACCATGTGACATCATGCTCAGTACATAAACTGGGGGGAGTTGGCCGGGGAGGGTGTAGCTGCTGCTCAGGAAATGGCTGGGCGTTGGTCAGTGGGTGGTGAGCAATTGCACTGTGCATCACTTGTTTTGTATATTCTTTTATCATTATTATTATTTTCCCTTCCTTTTCTGTCCTATTAAATTGTCTTCATCTCAACCCACGAGTTTTATCTTTTTTCATTATTCTCTCCCCCATCCCACTTGGGGGGGAGTGAGTGAAGGGCTGTGTGGTGTTTAGCTGCCTGCCAGGTTAAACCACAACAGTCCTTTTTGGCATCCAATATGGGGGATAAAGGGTTGAGATAACAACAGATCTGACCAGAGCATGTTAAAACAAATTTGTTATAAGCATTCTTTATTAGGTTAATATTCGCTGGTTGTAATGTTGATTTATCTGCTCTCAGAGTTGTTGTGCTTGTTCTCAGGGTTGTGTTAGGTAACACCTTACTTGCTGTCTATGTTCCCTCTTGTGCTGTTCATCACCTCTGGGGGCTGGATCATGGATATCATGTTGCTGCACGGTGTAACACTGGCTTATGACATGATAAAATTACTGGTCGAGAGACTAATCTGGTATTTGGACTCAGCATTGCCATCATCTCCGTACTTCTTTACACTCTTTACCTTTTCTCCTTCGAGAGTCAATCTATTGGGGAGACAAGCGGGGGACATTTTCCCCGACTCCTTCACCTTCCCCTTCTCCTCCAGGTTAGTTACAATAGCTTTTGAAATTTTGAATATCCTTGGGATGTTATAAAACCTACGAGTTTTACCTTTTTCCCAATTCTCTTCCCCATCTCACTGGCAGTAGTGAGTGAACGGCTATGTGGTGTTTAGCTGCCTGCCAGGTTAAACCACGACACTAAAAAATAGTATCTATACTTAAATATAGCTTATTTTGATCATAGTCACATTTCATGCAAATGTAGAGATGAGTTATACTCTATTAATATCTAGCAGAAGAGTTTAAGATCCAAAGTTTGCTAGTCAAGGCAGAGAATGCAATTGTTTTCCCAAAGGTGGAAATTTTCATTTGAATAGGAAAAAAAAAAAGTCATTCTGTGCCTGGAGTTTAGTCAAATTAATTCCTTGAAAAAGCTTCAAATTAATCAAAATTATTCCCAAGAAAATAATTGTTTCAAATTAATTCCCAAACAATCTAATCATATGAAGTATCAATGTCCTAGAACCAGATTAAATAACAGAAAGTGTTACTGTTACATTAATTCACCTACTTTTGCAGGTATTTAGTCATCATATTCCCTTATAACATAATGTCTGAGCAGTTGAGATTTACTTGCACAAACGTTGACAAATATGTGTTTTGTCTCATATTGTAAATCTACCATGTACCATTTATGCCAGAGGCATTTTTGCATCTGTCCAAATCAAAGAACAAAAACATTTTTGTGCTGCATGTTTGTGTACTTCTAGCTGTTGATTTGTCTGTGTGGGAATATCTATCTGCATTGTTGTATCAGTGCAACTCCCACATGTATACTCTTACTGCAAACAGCATCCTCTCATGGAATAACTAACATGAAAAGGTCACCAGTCTTTCCATTAAGAGTTTTCATACAGAAATTTACACTGGTATAGCTATTACTGCATAAATTATTGTGGCACATTTCTAGAAGCCAGTAAACCCTGAAACACTAAGAACTATAGCAATAAAAATAATGGCTAAAACCTAGGTGCAGCTCATTCAACCAACCACAAGTAAGTAAATGATTTGAGTTTGAAACATATCTGATCAAGCCTTGGTGGAAAATATTTGAAAAAATACTGGTGTAAAAGATGTTATTGATAATGGGTGAATTCAAGGAGATTATGAACATTTAGGAATATTCTGTGATGGAACAATGCTCAAAAGACATTCATTGTAAATTATTGGCTGAGCTTTGTTGAACACAAGAATTATGTGGGGAAATAAAGCAGTGATACTAGGGCAGAGCAAACCAAAGCAGTCAGAAGTGATTAAAAACAATACATTTAAATGAATACAAAAGCAAAAAAACCCAATGTCATCTGGCACTCCAAAAGGCAAGGGCTCCTGAGGAACTGAACACAGAATGTGTAGGCTTTTGTGAAACTATTGAAATTTCAGCTGGTAAGTCTAACAGAGATCTGTAGTGGAGCCCATGTATCTGTCTTATAAATTCCACTTCTCTCCTTTTACCCATTTTCAGCTGATGTATCTGGTTAGCTTGGCCAGCTCACAGTTGTGGGCTTTCACAAAAACGACAGTGATGTTCAAAATACAAAGAGGGAGGCCGTATCTTCATGAGATGCTCCACTGGTCGCAACAGGAATGATGGTTTTTACAATGCACAACCACAGCAAGATTGTCTTGAACATTACTGCAGCGTATTCATATATGCCTCTAAACTCTATCTCTACAAAATGTGCATACTTAAACCAATTCCATAAAGGGAAAAAAGGGGTGTTTTTTTCCTTTCTTAGGTAAAAAGATCTCCTTTTGTAACTGACACTTCTATTTAACAGTTGCATAGTTTCTATTAAGATATTTTCCATGGAAATTTCAAGACTGACAGATCTCTCAAGAAACGGATAGTTGAAAGCTGATGCTTAATAATTATAATACATACTCCTCGGGGGTGAGTTAGTACTCTACATCTTTCCCAAACCCTTTCTCTGTTTCACAGTGTTTTTTCTCATCTCAGTCATGCTTTCTTTCCATTCCACTACTATGCTAATGTTAAAAGTGCCCTTTTGCTTCTTTCTCTATTCAGTGCTAGTCTTAACTATTCTCCCTCTCTCACATTCTGCTCTTGGCTTTGTTCTCTGCCCTTTCATTTATTATTCTCCACTGTACCCTAATTACTTATATTGCTCCCAAGTTGTAGGTTTGTGTTGTAAACAGTGTTCAATCCTTCTTTGCCATCTTCCTTTCTTCATTCACTTTCCTTACCTTTTCTCCTTTGGTCCTCTGGAGACCTTTACTTCTTTTAACAAGCCGCTATAAAGTGACTCCCTATTCATTTGACGTTTTAGCTCACTGAGTTGATACAACTCAATGCTATTTCAAATACGTTAAGCTGTTTAATGGCATTCTTCTTTGGTACATCATCTTCTTTTTCTTTAAATACTCCCAAGCTAATGGATTGCCAATTAATTAGAAATAGTTAATCTTCGCAATAGAATAAACACTACGTGTTTGTGTCTCTTGGGGAGCTCCTAAACTAATTTTTATGACTGTGTTGTTAACCGTTCTCACTACTTGGCAGCCTGTCAATGGAAATAAAAGTTCAATGAGCAGATATCCAGGCCACAGTTTGCAGAATGTTTTCTTTGAGCAGGGTGCTTCTGCACCCGCTGTCCTTCCCTTCCTTCACTGCTCGTTCCCAGGCTGCGCTGTCTTTCAGGATGCCAGTTCTGGGGGTGATGCAGATGATTGATCTTCACCAGCATGAAGACAGATAAAAAACTAGTACAAACACTGATTTTTTTGAACTCCTGATTGCTTTTGACTTGGTTTGTTGTGGGAAGCCCAATGTGTCAGCTTAACCAAGCAAGAAGCAAAAAGGAAGGAACTGTGGCAAGGAAGCTTTTGAACGACTACTGGAGGAGTATATCTCCTACTGACTCCAAACTGAGGGAAAAAAAGACAAAAGGAAGGGGAGCAGACAGAAAAGAAAAGAACCCAACACTGATATGGCTATTTAGCATGTGTTATGCACAAGATAAACCTGGTTAAAATTATTTAGAAGAAAAGGTAGCTCTCAAGGAATGGTTACCATGATGCAGGTGTTAAATTATTCATACCTGCTGAAGTTGGTTCCTCTTCAATTGAGGCTGTGCAAAAAGGAAGGGGGGGATATGGAAGGGGAAGGGGAGGGAAGGGAGAGAGAGAAAAAGAGAGATTAAGAAATCCAAATAGTGCTAATTGTTACATTATTTACATTTTCTTAACATATGAGCAATAAAACATCATGAAAAAAAAGTTTATTCTAAATAGTTTGATCAATTTCAGTAACAGATGTTTCATCTTCATGGAGAACTAAGCTAAAATGAGTTAAGATCTTAGCTTACATTTATAACATTACACTCTTAACCTTTCCCTCTAATGTAGCTAGTAGGATAGGCCCAATACTGTAATAGCAATGCTCAACAGAAGAGTTTCAGTTAACTCCTCTGCAGTCAAATTCACTGCCAGAGCTAGCTGTTGCTGTTCTTAAGGTAAAGCCTTCTAAAAAATCGACTGCAGGACCCAGTTATCTGGTTAGCTAATGAAGACTGTTGTCCGATGACACAGCTAAGCCAGCGGCTGGTTAGCAGTTAATGAGAGGCACAGTCCACATCTTTTTCCCATCTCTGCATCCTCCACCCCTTCCGTTCCCTTCAGTTTCTTCCCAACTTTGTGCTGGCAGTAATGATTTAATGATCCTGAAATTAAGTAGCCAGGGAGCAAAAATGGCAGTTTTGGGGTTTTGTTTTGTTTTTCTGGTA